TCATTAAGTCACATTTTATTAAAGTGAAATCATTTGCCCTCCACGTCTCCACTTCGGCGAAGACCTTCCCAGGAGTAGACATCTCATAGAGACGTAAAAGAAGTGCTTAATTTAGTGAAACAATGTAAGCTTGAGTACCTCGGCACGTGATGCGGAACGAAGAAAAATATCGAATTCTTTAACTCGTTATGCAGGGTAAAGAATCTGGCAGGAGAGGACCAGGACACTGTCTTATCTCGTGATTAAAAAACGGCAACATCCGGACCGGATAAGGCACTGAAGAAGAAGTCTCCAAAAAGGTGGTTGCAACACTTGACACAACATGTCAAGATGGTCATGTAGCAACAATTCCTTCGAAGTCTCAAATAACTTTTATTACTTATGCATATACAACCATTTCATTTGCCGCAAGCCATTGTCAAGCTTCGTAAAACTAACATAAACGACGCGACACATCATTCTCAACGAAGATAGTTCGCAACGCAAGAAAATCGAATTTTATTATTTTAAATTAATCGAGTTTTGCGACTTCATAAAATTTCAAATTGTTAAATCATCCTCCCAACAGTCCTGACCTAAGCCACAACGACTTTTTTACTTTTCCGAACATCAAGGACGGAGTACATAGTCATAATTTGCAGTCGTCGAAAGATATAGTCGATGTCTTCAAAAACAAAATTTTGATTATCAAATAAGCAGAATAACTGTTTCCAGTATTGGTTCGAGCAAATAAGAAAGTATATTAATCATCATGGAGAACATTTCGAACAACAATAGTATTCTCAAAGCTATAAGCCATTTTTTCCAGGTCTATATGCAAAATATCAAGTTATTGTAGCTTCTCGAGTATGTTCTTTCTTATTGAGAAACTCAATATAAAAATATGTTGCTTGATAGGTCTTGCAGAACATACAAACTTTCAAAAGCGCAATATTTATACTTTCTCTTGTTATTCTGTGAGTCGTTCCCAGTTATAAATGTCAATACCTTTTACCTTCGGTTTATATGTAACTCTGCGGTGTCGTTACTATATTTAAATGAACTACATCTAAAAATCAATGCTGCATTTTTATTATCCTATTTTGTGTTATAGTAAGCTGTTCGCAACAGCACATTCATTCGAGATCATAGGACAGAAGTTCAAGACATCACTACAAAATAAGTAAATTATTTTTTCTATAGAATAAATATAAATAAACCGAAATGTACCAAGTTTAAAATTATTTCTACGATTGATAAATTATGCATTATATAACAAATATTTAAAATAACACATTCGCGTATTTTTTGAAAAATCCATTTACGTATCAAATGTTTATAATTAGCGGGAGCCACATTCAGATATCCACATTAAACGAATCTACTATTACGACCGGTTGCGTAGTTTTTCTTTTATAAAATAATTTATACTATGAGAGATTTGTTTGCAAAAAATATTTGAGTCTTAATATGGTCTCTTGATTGCTCAACCTACTTATTCTAACGAGATTTTAATCTGTTATCATTTTTTACATCATTAGTTACTTTTATCTCTGGCATTTGATCGTGAGACCTTTGCACCAAACCCTGTTCTTTCTTTAAGCACCATCAAGAAGACCTGGTCTCTTGATAAATTGCAGTAAATTACTTATAGAGGGTTTAAAAATTTCTCAGCCTCAACACGTGTTTTCTTGCTTCATATTACTAACCATGCAGTACTCGAATAGTGTTTTGTTAAACAAATAATCGCCGTGAAATGCAAATGTATCCTGTGAAAATTTGGTTCAAGGGAGCGATTCATGTCCCATTAAATTTGTTTCAAGTTTTACAAGGTCTGGCCTAAAGTCAGAATACTACACACTACACACCAACTAATCTAGAATATGAGTGAAAAGCGCCGAATCTTCTTGAAGTTCAAGGCGTCGCAAAGAAATCTCCAAATATTCTCGAATGTATTTGTTTTAATGTATAAAACGCTTGATTTTCTTGAAGTTATAAAATAAATTTAAAGAAGACTAAGTTTAATATCCAAATAAATTATCTTTATAAATAAATCTACCGTGCGTTATTGATAGGTTTAAAAAGAGTAGTCTATTAATTTTTATTGGTATATCCAATTCTTACATGACCCTATACGAGGATGTATTGAAAAATTGTTAGTCTACTATAGAATCAAACAACATTTGAAAGACAAAGTGTTTTATTATTCAATATAATCTGCCCTTGATTTGATATGATTATTACAACGAACTTAAATAGCTAATTGTTTGAATCCCAACATGCAGCAGCGGCATAACCTTGCAAAAATAAAATCACTTTGGAAAACTGCATCTTATTTCCATTTTTTTTTTTCATAAATTGGTTAGTAAAATCGAATAGTCATCATCATCATTGGTGCTACAGCCCTATGAGCCTCGACCTTCCTAAGTCTATTACGCTAGTCAGTTCTATCCATTGCCAACTATTGCCAGTTTGCTGCGGCTATTTTTTTTACCATCCTCATCTACACCATCCCTCCATCTGAGTTTTGGCCTACCCCTACTGCTACTTCCCACGGGTTGTGACAAGGATTCTTCTAGGAGGATTGTTCTGCTGTGATCTTGCCAAATGTCCTGCCATCTTAGTTTTCTCCTTTTTTAATAAGAGATACTACGTCTTTACCACCTAATATATGTTTATATCTGTGATATATCTTGTAGTTGTACCTCCTTCTCCAAATACCATTTTCACAGATGCCACCGAATATTCTTCTCAAGATCCTTCGTTCAAATATAAGCAGGAGGTTTTCATCTAACTTGGAAATGGTCCATGTCTCCGATCTCTATGTCAACACTGGTTGTATAAGGGTTTTGTATATGGTTATTTTAGTTTTAGTTTCGATATAGTTTTGAAACCTTTCTACCGTTTGCGGATTTTTGAGGAGTTCAATATTAAGACGCCTTGTTTTGGTACTTCTCTCCTTCTTCGCATTTGAGATTCTAGCTCGAATTCGTGTGCCAACTAGAAATGATCTGAATCAATATTGGCGCCTCGATAAGTGCGGACATCCATAAGATTGGAGAAGTGTCTAGCATCTATGATCACATGATCAATTTGGTTGTTCGTTAATCCATCGGGCGAGGTCCAAGTCCCCATATGTATTTTTTTGTGTAGAAAACATGTGCTTCCTACAATTATGTTCTTTGAGGCTGCGAAAGTGACTGCTCGGTGGAAGGTAAATTTAAATTAACATTCTTTAACGTGAAAATGCAACCCCTACCTTCAACCCCCTTAGAATGACAGGTACAACCCCCAACTTTTAAAATAGGAAGTATAGGTTTGTGATATATCGTTTGAAAGGTCTCCATTCAAAAATGTTGTCGCTTTCAAGTTTATTAAGATTAATTAAGATAAAATAAATTAAAATCATGTGGTTACCGAAATTCGCTATAATACAATCAAAAACTAAAATGTAATGCAAAACGTAATAAAATGTAAAACACGAAAAAGAACTATGAATGTTAATGAAGTAGATGTTCAAATGTTCACCGCGAACGTCTTGGCAACATCCTAATCTCAAATAAAACTGTCTTCTAACATTATTTAACATAACAGGCGTGATCGACCTAATCGCAAGCGTTATTCGTTCTTTTAAGTCATTTAAATCAGAAGGTTTAGTTTTGTACACATCGCTCTTCACATATCCCCATAAAAAGAAATCTAATAATGTAAGAACAGGTGGTCGCGCTGGCCATTCAATCGATCCTCGCCTTCCTATCCACCGATTGGGAAATATTGTATCGAGGTACTGCCGGACATTAAGTTGGTAATGTGCTGGTGCTCCATCCTGCTGAAACCATATCGTATTCGCTGGAACTTGAGGGTTTCCTGGATCAGGATATAAATTTGCCAACGTTGGAATGACATCATTTTGAAGTAGTGCCAAATAATTGTTGCCATTCAAGTTGCCCTCAATGAAAAAGGACCAATGATATTGTTTCCTACAATCCCTGCCCAAACATTAACCTTTTGAGGGTATTGAGTGTGTTCTTCTCTCATCCAGTGAGGATTTTCCGTGGCCCAGTAGCGGCAATTTTGCCGATTAGCATGACCGTTAAGTGAAAAAGTACACTCATCAGAAAACATAACGTCTTCTAATTGGATAATATTGTTATCCGACATGTCCATCATTTGCTCACAAAAAAAAGTTCTCTTATCAAAATCGTCTTCCATGAGCTCCTGAGTAGGTATCATCTTATAGGGATGCAATTTATTTTCTTTTAATATGTTTACTATCGATGTATGGATGGCATTAAATGTAGTGGATGCCTGTCTACTCGATGTATGTGGATTTTCCTGAAACTCAAGCAACACATCTAATTTGAGTTCATCACTCAGTGCATTGGCAGCTGCTTTTTTTATCTGCCTTACATGACCAAACTCGCGAAACTGCTTCTCTATTTTACTTATTGTTCCTCGGGATATAGGCGGTAAATTAGGAAATTTCTCATGAAATAGGCGAGTTACTTCCTGTTGTGTTTGGGTGTTATCTCCGTAACCAATCATTTGTAAAACTGTTATTTTATGCATTTAAGTTATTCTAACCATTTTTCGGAATTGAATTGAACGAACTTTTTACTTAAATTAAAATACTGACAACTTAAATAAAACAATTTACTAATGCGTGTTAAAATAACGTTGTACGTTATTTTAATTCGGTTTTCAATTCAGTTTATACTGACGAGTTCAAACTCAGTCTCGGTATGTCTCACACTAACACGAACGGAGTTGCCCTTTGTTGTAAGTGTAAGTCTCATTCAACCAAACACTTAAACTCGAAAGCCTGGTTTTTAACCATTCAAGATGAAGGAACTGTTTCCAATATTGTTGAATTCGGCTTTGTTTTGGTTTATGTTGTTAAGCTTTTTAAATAAAAATACTTATAGGTGAGACATCTCACCAGCTTGAATACATTATTACGATTCGTGGTACCGTATTTAATAATTTTTCCCAAGTTTTGATAACGAATTTTCTATTTCTAGGGCTTCCCCGCTGAATTTTCCATGTACCTGAACTATTGCCGTGGACTTCGTTTCGAAGAAAACCCCGATTACATGTATTTGCGGCAATTGTTCCGTATTCTATTCCGTACCCTGAACCACCAGTACGATTACACATTCGATTGGACTATGTTGAAACAAAACGCCGCATCTGGTACTGGCAGTTCTGTGGCAGGACAAGCTTCGACACAAGCCCATCAACAAGCTCAAGCGTCCGTCACAGCTCCACACTTAGGTAAGTAGGTAAGTGATCCCTTGTTTATCGGGTATTTATACAGGCTAATATTAAAATTACTTTTGTATATATATATATATATATATATATATATTAATTATTAAACTAGTTGCTTCATATACAATGTTAACCACAACAAACCGTGTACTGAAATGACTAAAAATGTAAAGGTTTTAATTATATTACCGTTGTAAAATCGTATATAAATATGTTAACAGTGGTTTTATTATTTGCAATAATAAATCGATGGTAAACTAGATTATTGTGGGTGAGTTATTTAATCAAACTTGAATTTTCATATGATTTTGAAATTAAAGAATATATATTACTATCAAAGACTAAAATATGAGGTGTAGCTATTAAATAACGAGACTTACATTATTTTAAGCCTCTCGGGGGTGTAAAGCTAGTTCGCGTCTGTATTAGAATACTACACGTGCACCCTGGGTAATGCTAAATGAACTAGCACAATAGGCAGCCAGACACCTGGCAAAAATACGTCACGAATATAAAATATGCCTCCAACCAACAATTTAAATGCACCTTCTCAGGACCAAGCGACAAAAGGACTCAAACCAAGCATCCGAATGTGCTATTTAAATATAGAAGGTATTAGTAGAAGTAAATGTGAGTACCTTCAAAAGGTACGCATTGAAAATAATATCGTCGTGGTCGCAATTCGAAACCCATGTAGAAAACGAACAACAAATTCCCACTAGAGGAAAAATGCATGGCTATGATTTATTGAGTGCAACTTATCATCCTGCTTATGGAATGGCAACCTATGTTCTAAACAAAATAGAAAATTTACACATGTGTTCTACATCAGACATAAATAACATTCATACGGTTACTGTACAAATTGGCGAAATTACTGTCAGCAATATATTGGCGAAATTACTGTCAGGCAGTCCTGTGGTCTCCGCATGGTATTCACGCCCACACACACCCCTCAGTTTATGTTGGAGACTTCAACAGTCATCATGAACTCTGGAAATATAGACACATTGATCAAAACGGCGAAGCTATGTCAAAGTTGAGCGAAGAGGCTGACAGTTATTTAGTCTTTGACGCTAAAAATCGGGAAACTTTTCGATCTGCAGTTTGGAGGCGAGAATACAACCCAGACCTATGTTTTGTTTCCACAAATGAAAATAATCAACCACTGGCAGCTTCACGTACAGTACCCCCAAATTTTCCATATACCAATTTTTCAACATAGACCAGTTGTAATAGAATTTGGCATCAAAATACAATAATATCATCTTTTCCTCTTGAACTTTCAAAAAGCAGACTGGGCGACTTTTACTGACAGATTGGTCAAATGTCTGGGGTGGATAACCCCAAACACGTGCAAACTAGATGAGATTTGTTGGCACGATTATCTCTACACCGAAGAAAACTATACCCAGAGGATATTGTAAAGAGTATTGCCCAGGATGGGATGAAAAATGTGAGAAATTGTATGAAGAATTGAACAACGAAACCCAAGACGAAAAATTGCAGACAAACTAATGCACAGTTTGGATGCAACCAGACGACAAAAATGGATGGAACCTGTGGAAAAATTAGACTTTAGTAAATCAAGCAGAAGAGCATGGTCTTTACTTAGAAAACTTTGTAGTAGCAGTCTACCAACTAAAGACAAAGTACCAATAGCTCCCAGCAGAGTGGCTTCCCACATTGTAACAACCTCAAGAGCACCTAGAAATCGTGACCACACCACCAAAGTAAAACAATAATTAAAATACTAAGTCTGCATGCCCGCCTATATCTTAATATTTTGACGTGTTTACCCAGAAGAAATTTTTTCAGCAATCAGAAATTAGGTCTGGAAAGGCACCCGGCTTCGATAAAATCGATCCAGAATTTTTACTCTACTGCGACAAATATGCTAGGAAATGGCTGGCTGATTTCTATACAGATTTGTTAAAATCAGGAGAAATCCCCATTTACTAAAAAATGCCTCCAATATAGACATATTAAAACCAGGGAAGGCAAATGTTCAACCCCAAATCTACCGACCGATTGCACATCTACAAAAGAATAAGTAAAAACAGATTTGAATTGATACCTATTAAGCAAGCAGTGTTCAGACCTAACCGCAGCTGCACAGTTGATATCCTATCTCTAACAACACATATTGAAGCAAGTTTTCAAAGAAAGCAAAAAACATTCGTTGCTTTCATTGACCTATTACCTGCATACGATACTGTCTGGAGACAAGGACTAATCTGCAAACTAATCTGTGCCATCCCGTGTCAAAAGGTAACTAAACTCATTGATAGCATGCTTACCGTCAGACCTTTTTGTGATCTTACTTCTTAAACACTTAAACACTTTGTGATTGATAGTAATTAACCTGAAGGGTGAAGCCTCGCAATAATTCTCGCTTCTGTAAATTCAGAATGCTATAAACATAGCATTCGTTTAAAATTATTTTTCTGTTTCGCGGAAGAAAGTAAGTATGACAGTAGAGCTATGATACAGTTCATAGAAAGTAGGTGTTTTTTCATGATTTTAAGTGTTTTAAAGATGGTTGAGGATTATTGAAGATTATTCACGCCCTGTTCACTCTTTCACGTCATAAACGGATGGGATTATCGAAAAAATCAGTAGAATCAGTAATTTGATTTGATCTGGCCACCAGTAACTGGCTTATTATCCAAAATGGGAAAATAAATTTAATGATTTTTCTCCTTAAACTCACTTTACTACTTTAACTGTCATTTATTCCAATCAAAATGGGACTTGCCTGAAACATTTAAATTCTGCAAGGAATGAGAAATTTTTAATTATTTTGTTGTAAGATTTTATCAGTTATAGGTTTACTCGTTATATTTGAGTTTAGTGCACCTTATTGCAAACACATTTTTGAAAGGAAATGTTCCTAGTGACCAGTGGTATAACGAGTTGGAAAGTTGCAAAGTGATTAAATTTATTTTTTCACATTTTTCTCTAAAATTCCTTTTTTTTCACCAATTCCAATTAAAAATAAAAATCATTTGGATTCAGCGAATTCGAAAATTCGCGGTTTGAACATTTAAACAAAAACAGTTAATATTCGGGGATTTGAGAGTGTCATTTTAGAGGGAACTATCCCTCGCATTAATTTAGTTTGAATCAAATAAAAGGCAGATATCGAGCACAGTTTTATTAATTTAATCTTGCCCAAGTACTTTCGCTTTCTAGAGCATTTTCAGAGGCATTTCGTCAAATGCGGCCTATCCAACAAGAATAAAATGTTATAAACATAAAATTAAACATCACCTACACTACACGAGGACAAACACTTTAAAAATTTTAAAAATAGGCGAAGCTACATTATATATGGAAACCGGAGACAGAATTCTGTCAGATTTGTCCTCGTGTAGTGTAGTGTGATGTTTAATTTTATGTTTATAACATTTTATTCTTGTTGGATAAGCCGCAAATGACGAAATGCCCCTGAAGATGCTCTAGGGAGCGAAAGTACTTGGGCAAGATTAAATTAATAAAACTGCTCGATATCTGCCTTTTATTTGATTCAAAGTTCATTTATTCAGCATTCAACCTTATATTAATTTAGTTTGTTAAAAAAGTTTAAAACCTGAACCTACTTCAACAAACAATGCTATACTGTCATAATTTTTTTTTATTTACGGTGTCTATGAGGTTATATGGTGAAAAATGTCTAATACATCATCAAATGATTTGGTCTGTACAAAATATAAATTTGTTTTTACCAGCTAACACATTTGGCTGGTAATTTGGGCTTAGCCCAGACGGGGCCGCCATTTCAAGTAACTCCCTTTTGGATAAATCTATAATAAGCGACATTAAGTCGTTTAAATTTAAATTTATTTAATATTTTAAATATAAATTGAAGGTTATTAAACCATTTTGGAAGTGACTTTTTGCAAATGCTTCAAGTATCACTGATGGTGGTCTAATATGTTCGAAAACTTTTTTTTTTTTGGTCCTATCAACAAGACAATTTTGTAATCCATTTGGATATTTTTATAATTTTTTAAATTATACCAATTGCATTAAAAGTTTTACACTTCGTTGTAAATTTGTTAAACTATGGTATAGACATAGAGCCAAGCTGGGAATTTTTCCTTTATCAAATATTAAATTAATAAATGAAAATTTTAGTTTACTCTCGATTTATCTTTGCATTTTATTGTTGTCTTCTTTTTTATAGTTTTTGTTGACAGTATTTATAAATGGATTTTTCAAATATTTTTATTAGGTTAATTTTCCAAGCCTCTACCCAAGAACGTGAAATAAAATTATAAGGGATCGATATCACTAACAAAACAAATCGTTAATTCTTTTTACATCTACTACAATGAATGCTGGATATTGCATTACATTTGCTCCGTTGTTATTTTAAAAAGTTTTTTGCTATTTTGAAAGTTTTTGATTAGAATGCTACAAAACAGCTTAAATCAAATCAAAGTAGAACTAATAAAGAATTTTTCACCTGGCCCTTTCAATTACATAACCTTTTTATTTCCATCTTATATAACAACCTTCTTCCATCTTCATTGTGTCCGTGGATTGCTTCTTTCATTGAGCTTCCATTTAATATACCATTATACAGTAGGATAAAGTCTTACTAAGTCATCTCATTCTCGTCAACCACGTTCAGGTGAACGCCAGATACCCAATTTTTTTAAATAGCAAAGGGTGTCATGTGACACTTCCTTTGTCGTAGGGTTGGAAAAATCTGATTTTAAAAATTTATTACAGTAATAATGTAAATATACAGAGTGATCAACTTTTGTGGCAAAATCCCTTACATCTATTATAAAATTTACCAAAAAAAAGTTATTTACAAAAATACGATGTAAGCTTAAGCTGTATTTATCCACCATATATAAGTGTAAATATTTGTTTATAACGGATTGACATTTTTTAACCATCCGTTAATATCTGGGCTTCTAGTTGCTACCCTATGAGACCGGGCCTTAAATTAAATTCCTAAGAACCGTTTTAACTATGTTTTATTCTCGCATTCCTTTGTCAGCTTATTCTTGTTACCCAACAGCATTTTCGAAGGCATTCCATCTCTATTGCAGTTATCTTACTGCTTTTAATTATCAAATTCTATCCTATTCGTTTCTCACTGGTACCCCTTCTTCTTCCCATTAAATTTGTTCTTCCATTTTTTTGGTATATTTTCAATAGTATGGGAGATGTGAATAATTCCTGTATCATTGAAGTTTTCTATGATTCTCATTATAATTTTAAAGAACACTTTTTTTCTTTGTGTAGATTTGTTTTTGTCTCTATTGTTTCCACGTTTCCAATTTGTGCAGCATCATGATCATCAATGAGCTACAACCCTATAGTAGAGACATTGACATTCCCAAATCTATTTCACCAGTCAGTCTGTCCTATTTATTGCCAATCGTTTCCAGTTTGCTGTATTTTTTAGCATGTTGGTATATGCCATCCTTCCAGCTAAGTTTTGGCTTACCTCTCTGTCTTCTTTCCACCGGCTGTGACATAAGGATTTATCTAGGAGGGCTGCCCATCTTAGACTTCCTATTTTTATGAGAAATATCACATCTCCTCCTCTAAATACGGTTATCACAGATGCCACCAAATATTCCTCTCGGGATTCTTAATTCAGATATAAGCAGGAGGTTTTCATCTGTCTTGGAGATGGTCCATGTTTCTGGGGATTGCTTCTTTGTGTCTTTGTTCCTTTTCTTTTTCTATAAATAATGATCTTTGTTCCTTTAATGTTCCTTTGTTCCTCTATAAATAAAGATCCCAGTTCAAGATCACTACGTTTACAATTTAGGTAATCAAGCTCATATTTGTACATACATTTAAGAATAGGAGACCACATTGACAACAGGTTGCTGGTCAAAAAGTGGCCTCAAATAGTTTTAATTCAATTTCAATTTAAATATCGTGACGTATATGTATGTATGTTTTTTTATACCAAATTACAGCTAATTTTTTTGATATGATATAGGTAAGGTTGCCTGAGAAAAAAATGGTCGCAAATTAGGGTTGCCAGCTGATAAAAACATGAGGTATCAAAGATAAAGTAAAATAGAGATAGCGCGCAACGACACTGATTTTACAAGTGATAATATGTATATTATTAACACTATCGACGTATGCTTTAAAAACTTACTCAACTGACACTAGCCTTGACAAACCAGTGGCGTTGCGTCTTACTCTCTTTTATTGTATCTTTGATAACTCACGTTTTTAACAATTGGTAACCCTAATTTGCGACCATTTTTTCAATGTATTCTACTATTCTTAAATGTGTGTAAAACTATGAGTTTGACTAACTACGTTATGAATGTAGTGATCTTGCAGCGGGATCTCGTACTATTACTTATCAATACGTATTCGATTCGAGTTGTTTAATGTTTATCAGTGCATTTTTGTTTGTAAACGAAGATATTGGTAATTGTACATATTCAATTTTATCATAAAATAAAGAGAAATGTAATGGAATATACAGTATTTTACATGTTTAGTAAATAAGCGTCTGTCTCATATTTCCCCTCTTTTCAGCGAACCGAGATAAAAAAGACGATGAAAAGAACAAGCAGAATTCTGCTAAAGGTACAGCACAAAGTAAAACAATCCATGCTTCTTCCACTGATATTGTTAAAGTTTTTAAAGGTCATTGATTTAGTTTTTTGTATATTATTTTCCCCTTATTTTGTAAGAGTTTTTAATTTATATAAAAATTTTAGTAACACTGTATTTGCGTTTTGTTTAGCTTTAAAATTGCTAATAAATATTTCCATTTTTTTTTTCAAGTTACCAACAAACAAATGTTTTATTTTTGGGAAAGGTGTCTTATTTTTATTTTAAAATGTTTCATAGTCATGATAGTTTGATTTGTGATAATGGCTACCAATTATATATCAATAAGTTGCGATATGTTTGTCAGTTTTTTAGGCCTTTTGAAAACCTTGTTAGATTTTTAAAATGCCTGTTACATATGTTTATGGTATTAACAGTTACAGATATTTTCGGCCCGTTCCTCTGCATTTTCGTAGAAACTGTATGATAGTGAATAATGTCTGAGTGAGAACACCTATGATTATTCTGAGTTCAGTTTTCTGAAGCTTCAATAGGCTCCACTTAATTCCTTTTCGGCACGTGTCAAACTGTATTAGATAAACCAATAATGTGCTAATTTGGTTGCCGAAAACGGACTGGAATGAGATTAGTTATAACAAGCTTTTTGATATTACCAAGTGACTCCAATAGACCTGTACAAGCTGTTACAGGGTTACAGAATTCAGAAATGGGCAACATGAATAAATGAAGAATGTGCAATAAGCCAATTGGGTGCAGTTTGACCGGTATATAATAGATTGCTTCCAGAAAATAAGGAAAAAAGATTTTCCCTCCATTTTTGTATTTTGTGACATGTGAAAAATCTTGGATCTTTGGGAGGACTTGGGGAGGGTGCAGTTTGACCGGTATATAATAGATTGCTTCCAGAAAATAAGGAAAAAAGATTTTCCCTCCATTTTTGTATTTTGTGACATGTGAAAAATCTTGGATCTTTGGGAGGACTTGTCTTGTCATCAGCACTGATTAAAAAACTCTATGAGACGAGACCCAGATACTTTGGAGAACATTGCCATCATGATATTTATATTCAGTGATCCCAAAAACCCACCCGAGTAGTAATATTGAACACATTTCCGTCAATTATTTCCAATTTACAAATGTATAATTTTTTGTCCCTTCGAAATGTACATGGAAAATGTATTTTCCTTGTTCAATAATGCAATTTTTATTTCCACATCATTATTTTTGTTCACAAAATTTCCTGGCACATACGAATCGAATGCAAAAAGTTCCATTGAGATTCATCCTACTGCAAAAATTTGGTAGGTTTATTTGCTTCATTGCCTCACCTAAAAATATAATCTAACTGTCATCTTGATGTCGAAGAGGCCCTGGACAAAGGCAACATTCATGGTTCAGAGACATAATTAGGAACATGGTGCATCACACCTGATGTTAGTACCATAGCAAGCAGAGCGAAAGAAGGATTTCTTGTCTGTACAATCGACAAACAGCGTGAACCCCTTCATACTACATAAACGCCTAGGTGCTGGCACCCAAAGCAGATACAAATAAAGGGATGATTATTTTTAAATCAAAATTTAAAGTACATGCTGTATGAATACAGAATTAGTGTTTATTAAAAGAAAAACTTGCATACATGCTGCTAGATTCAAAAGTATCAGCATATGCAATTGCTTACAAAGAATAGTGGCCCTGACTAAGATTCTGACAAATCATTCTCTAATAAAATGTATCATTTGTATGATACATTTAGAATTATCTATATTGATTTGTGCCTTTTTAGATCAGTAGAGCAGATTCCATGTATAAACCTTCCGGTCGTTTCTACATTATTCTGTTTGAGATATGGAACAAGGGTGTGAATAAAATAATTTTGTATTAAAATATTTTTTCTGGTCAAATTATACTTATTTGTTATGATTTTGTTAAGTAAACAAAAATAAGACACTAGATACCAAAGGTTTTTTTTAGTTTATTTTAGCTTCATCATTCATTAATTTGCTGTTGCTTTCATTTGTTTTTAATATAAACCAACAGGTTTAAATATGATTTTACTTGATCATATTTAAACTATCGATTCAAAACATTTTAAAAGTTGGTTTCTGGATAATGTTGAACAAGACATGATATAAACCACATGGTGGGAAAATCGATTTTGCGTTTTTAGTGATCGTCGTAAAAAAGTTCAGTCATGTCACAATAATAAAGACTGTAGAAGACTAGGGGGAACCATGAACGATTTTAAGAACCTACAATAAGTTGAGAATTGTTTTGACATCATTTTGATCGGATAATTTACCACAGAACAAAATTTCTTTTCTGAGATGAACCCAAACTTCAAGTAATATCACCATATAGGCGACAACAGGTTGAGGAAGACCTATTGAATATTATACATGTGCTATTCTGATGGAAATGAACAGCAGCATTATTAAGTTTAGGACATATTGAGAGAGGTTTAGGGATAACCCAAAACGATAACGAACCGACTCCAAAACTTGTAGAAATTTTCAAACATTTTGTTAACAATTGGAATGCACTTGACCGTTGTTGAATGAATTTCTTTATATATTTAAAATATATATGATAGATGCTTCATCTTTATATATTTAAAACAAAAAAATATTTTCCCCTTAACGCCCTTTTTATAAAGATTCTCAGTTCAGAACGTCTTTCGACATTGTCCGATGCATAAACGTCCTCTCTAATTATTGGGATTAAAATTATTTTATCGGCATCTAAAAAAAATTTTAATTCTATTAATTTCAAACCGCTATTATTATCCCAATATTGAGCAAAAATAACTTGTATTGGTGGTCAATATTGATCTCAAAATAAATAAAAAACAATTATAACAACAAAATTCTTCCTATATTTAACATTGGTATCTTTACGTGATATTGACAAACGCAAGAACAACCTTTAATTCTGTATATCGTGTTTACATCAAAAGATATCCAGATTTAGCTCTGGTGGGACTCTTTCCCTGTGTTCGAGCCCTAGGTGACTTGAAACGTCGGTGTAGCTCCCAAAAATTTTCTTACGCATCTAGATGTTGAGAGCAGTACTGCTTTTTGCATGGTCTTATAGAGATGTTCATTAAGACCCAGCTTTTTAATGTTTTCTAGGAGGTTCTTCGGAATAACTTCAGTAGTAGAAAGAATAATAGGTATCGTCTTTGGGTACTTTTCATTCTCCATTGTCTCCTTATTTGTATTTCCAGATCTCTGTACTTGGTAATCTTTTCGCATTAGTGTTGTTTGTCTCGTAGTTTATTAACTAGATCTAGTCTATGTTATACTTTTTGGTCTGTGAGCACTCTGCGATCCCAGTGTAGCTTGTAGTTGTCATTCTCAAGCATACTCCCAGGAACGTATAGGTAATATGGGAGATGGTTTGTTTGGAGTAGTCCCAATTTGAAAGCTATCTCATGATGAAGGATCTTTCCTACTCAGTAATACAGTTATTATATTCAGATATTATATTATTATATTCAGTTATTATATTCGGTAGGTAATTTTCAGTAGGTATAACCTGATCCTGAATGGCAAGTAATGAACCTTCTGTTTCAGGGAACATCCTTTCTGATATCAATCAATAGTTCGAGACTGTGTTGTCGACATCGTGTTGACTGACTTCATTGAGATTTCGCCCATTTTTTCGTTCTTAGTTAGATGGGTTTGTGGACATTTCTGGTTCCCTCAGTTTGATCGGTGTTGCTGTGCAAATCGCGCGATGTGAGTAAATGTCTCAGCCTGCATCTGAAAATAAGTTCTTAAATTATTAATCTGTTTTTCTAATTGCTCATTTATATCCATAAGTACTCGTCCTCCTAAGTACCGCGGTAATGCCCTTTTTTTCTGCACTTCGAGTGTTTTTGTGCCTTTGTGAGGTATGTTCGTACTTTTCCCTGAAGAATTTTTATATCCGTTTTAGTACACTTATTAATATCATATGAATAGCTAAGCGCTGAAAATGCGTAGGTATTTAGTGCCTTAAACAAATTTTTACTATTAAGATGTGAACGGAGCAACTGTTTTACCCTTCGTATAACTGAAGTTAATTCGATTTTCATTTGTTTATGTTCAATTTTCCGCGCTTGCTTTACTCCTAGATATTTGTACATGTCATTTTCACACATAGCCTCGATGTTTTGGCCATTTTGCGTATCGCATCCTCCGGGCTGAAGTTTTCCTCTGACTATGTTCAAAACAAGGCATTTGTCTAGCCCGAAATGCATACTAATAGCATTAGAGAATGTTTCTAGTTTTTAACATCTGATCTAAGTGATTTCGAGTGGAAGCCACTAGTTTCAAATCATACAGATGATTAAGCTTCGCCACTACAGTATTGTTGTTTTTAATGCCAAAATCTGAGTCAGTGAAGTTCAATAGCTGGGATAGTGGGTGCATCGGTAGATATAACCACAATGGACTCAACGAGTCTCCTTGGAATATGCCGCGGTTAATTGAGATATTTTCTGTTTCGATATTGTTGTCACCAGATATTTGGAGGTGAATTTTAGTCTTTTAATCTGTCATTACATGTCTTAAATAGTCACTATATTATCATAGACTTTATATCTTCTTATTATATATACCGTATATATGCTGCTCTAACACCAATGCTGGATGGATCTTCTATCCATCCAGCATTGGTGTTACAGCAGCTGGTGTGGAAAGTTGATTTATTCAAACTTCTGAATTTCTTCTTGGCTTAGGTATGATTTATTGTCACTTACTGCAGTGGAATTAAGTTTCCGATAGAACGCCTTCTCGTCATGATCAAAAGCGCATTGTCGCATTTCCGGCTGTTACTGACTTTCTACCTCCTTAGCCGTCCTGAATAAACGGAGAGTTTTTGTTTTAATGTATACAGGCACTGTTGGATTGTGTCGTTTTCTAGATCATATTACGAGTATCTTGCAGTGCTCAGCATTATTTCTTCAGCTCTTCTGATAACTTTTCTACTTGTTATTCTTCTAATATATTCTGTCACGTGACCAATATATTGATCTGCAACTCAGTGTTCAGATACTTGAATTTCTGGATACTCCCTGCAAAATTCGGCATATAGATTTTGCGGATACCCGATCGTTTCTTGACCGAGGTTTGTCATCTCGTAATAGAAGCGCAAAATATTTTCATTTATGGACGCAGTCCAATTTTGCGCTGCATCGGTCGTCTCGCTTGATCTAGGCTGAGCGTCGGCCGATGATCCAGCGCAGCACTTTCAGCGAGTAAAGCTCTTGGCTCTTGGTATTGTTTGGCTCGCTTGTGGTTGTTCTTGTTGTACTGTAGCTGATTGTATGACAGGGGTCCACCTCCTCAGCGCCCTGCCACCGACGTCCTGCATGCTGTCACGTCCAGCGCCGGCTCCAGGCGTGTCCTGATAAGATATTATAATTATTATCCTCAAAAGTTTTTAAAAAATATTAGTTTTGATTTAACTTTGTCGTAGTTTACTTAATTCAGAAATTACAAAATAATCTTTTTCTATATTATTGATCATTCAAAAATCACCGCTGATTACCAATTACCTTACCTAACATCTATCAGCATTTAAGACGTTCATTGGCAAAAGTGTTCATTATAAAAGTACTTGTTTTTGCCGGCTTAAAAATAATTTACTGAAAACGTAGTGTCGCTGGTCACGCTCAGTGTCGTGATCGGTACGTGGTACTTGGTTGTCAATCACACCAAGGAGCGTAATCAACAACCAAAGTGTTACAGGATCTACCTAACATTAAAATATACAGTGTTACGACTTCCAGTTTTGTATTGATCTTTAATTACTAGTCTGGACATGCTAAATAGAAAAATCTACTATATATGACCTATATTAACTATATATAAACTTAAATTAGTAGCATTTTTATTAGTGGAAAACCCTATATTCAAAACATCATTTAAATAACATTGATCTCTGTATTAACAAAATTCATCATATAGTCCAGAGATATGAGGGTTTCCTCAGGACACCAATTCTAACAGGTAACCAACAAGTGATTTAGGTATTAGAGGTATATACAAGTGAAACCTATAGTTTGCTCCTAAAATCTGGTTGTTGATTCTTGTTAACTAATAACCTCAAAATAAGGGTATTTTTTGGTTCTTTTGGTGTAAAAAACAGCCTTTTTTCAGAGTTTTTTTTAAATTATTACTCGACAATAGATTTTTAAAATAACGTATTAACGCACTTAAATAGATTATAAATGTCTCTTTAAGTGCGAAAAAATGGGGGGGGGGTAAATTGATAAATTCACTATTTTTATTAGGAATAAACCACTTTTAAACTATTGTGCAATTTATTGTTAATTTTATAAATTTGATTTTATTTACACTTATTTGAGTTTATAGAGCAACAAACAGTTGTTGAGACTTTTGTAAACCGCAATTTTAAAGGTCTTTGTGACACTCTTTGATAAAGGTATCTAATAAACCATGTAAAATCGCTATTTGATTTTAAATACTTACGGTGTGAAGACTAATAAATTATATGGAAAAGTAACACAATTTTACTGAAAAAATCGTATAAAATTCTTGAAAATGAGAGTTTGTAATGTTATTTTTGTTAATCCGTAAACTGATTTTCAAAACCAGATTTTTATCAGATGTCGCTATTGCGTCCAGATTGAAACCATTTTATAGTTGCCTCTAATATGACAGAAAAGATTATTTTCCCTTCAAGAGCGTTTCTGAATATCCGCTCCGAAGATCTCTTTTAGGGTGAAATACGTATAAGCGGATTCACAGATGCACTATACGTGAAATCAAATCTTAACTGTCTTTCCGAAGAAATCAAGCATAAAACAAGCGAAGAAATCAAAAGACGAATAAACCTTACAAGTTGGGCATACTGTAGACTCCAAAGACAATTCTTCTCAAGAAATGTACAAAGAAAAACTAAAATTATTATATACAAAACAATGCTGAGGCCAATTCTCACATACGGATCGGAAACATGGACTTTAACGCGTATGGATGAAAAACTTCTGGGAATATTCGAGCGCAAGATACTTCGCAAAATATTTGGAGCTATGAACGATGAAGGGCAGTGGCGCAAAAGATGTAATTTCGAATTATACCAACTCTTTAATGAACCAGATGTCGTAAAGTTCATTAAAATACAGCGATTTAGATGGGCTGGACACACAGTACGAATGGCTGACAATATAAAAAATTACTTTACAAACCTTCATTGTAAAGGATCTTTTATACTTTTTCAGTAAAATTGTGTCACTTATCAGTAGGAATATCTCTAGGCCATTGATAACAGACGAGATAATTTCATGACAATCGAAAGCTCGTTCCTTGGTAACAGCTCGAAGCCGAAGGCTGAGTGCTGTTACCAAGCAACGAGCTTGAGAAATTTGTCATGAAATTATGAGGCATTCATCAATGTCCGAGGGATATTCGGCGGATAATTTTTCAAAAAAAAATCATAACGAAACATTTATTTATTAAAAGTACAGTTAGTGAAAGTACAATTATTAAAATTTAAGTTAACATTAGATTTTTTATCAACAATCTTTTAGTATCAACGCCAATTCTTCTAAGCTTCTATGTTCATTCAACTCATATTCTCTTCAGCAGCAAAATTCCATGAATATTCCCCAAATATATTTGTGACCGTAGGTTGTATTTCTGGGAATTTTTTCTATGATTAGCGCATTTATACTTTGAACATTCTCATTGCCGAAACGTGACATTTTGAAATTTATTTGGATGAAGTTGTCAAACTCGACCGTGTTGTCATAGGGATTGAAAATTGCACTGAATGCAATTATCAGTCTAATGTTGACATGATTGGGTGAAATTGTTCCACATGACACAAAATGACGAAATTTGAATGGTTGTTAGAACAGTCGAAAAATTATCCATATAATATACTAGTCTTCACCTTTAGTATTTGTTTAGTGATTAAACTTGAGAAGTCGCTGGTTTAAATTATATTGAATAAATAATTATAACGAAAAAATGCGATATTGTTGATACATAAAATTGGTGAAAATAGCAATTATAAATTGTAAAAGTAGAAATAAATTAGAAATAAATTGGTTTACTCATTATCAATGTTTTATACAAGAATAGACTTACCCTTTGGTTCTATTGATGAATTCGTACCAGGCTGAAGAGTCGGTCGGTGGTACCGACGCTGGCGTCGCCGTCCCGAGGCTTAGCACGAGAACCGTCCGGAACTATATGCGTGTCGATCGATCGTTGTCTGACGATGAAGTGGCCAATTGAGAATGCGTTAATATGGTCAGAGTTAAGGACCCTCGAAGCGGTGTGGTCCGGAAGGGTCTACCCATAAATCTTTCCATTGTATGGCGACCTTCCCGATAATCTTACCTAATTGTGACGGTAACACGACACTTTAAACTTGTGTGTATGTTTTTGAACCATAAAAAGAGAAGCCAAATTCTCCGTATTTACAACATCATAAATGAGATATCCAGTTTAAGATTTATGAGTGAACAGGAAATAATATATTTTAAAAGTTCTTTAGAATACAACCCTAATTTAGATCATATTACAGAACCGTACCAGAAAAAATATTAAATGTAAAAATGCATTCTTTCCCAAACAGTATTTAAAATCAAATAGCGATTTTATATTGTTTATATATGGTTTGTAAGTTAAAAATGAAGTTTAATCTTTTGTATTTTTTGTAGATAACATATTGTTATAACCAAATTTATTAAAAGCAGTTGTTATGTGCCTGTATCAATGAGTGTCATGATAAAATGGTTAGTTTCCTGGTCTATATAGTTTTTGTTTGAATATACCTCTAGTACCTAAACCACTTGTTGGTTATCTGTTAGAATTGGTGTTCCCAGTAGGGTAATTTTTTGCTCATATCTTTGGACTAATACATTTTGGGTAAAATAACGGCATGGTTTTCTTATTATTTGAAGATTAAATACACATTACTAATCCAGTGTTTTATTTTATTTCTAGGCGGCAATCGTTAACCCAACACTCGGCATCGATTGAGCTAATCTGCATATGGTTGGTTGACCTATTTCAGTCTTTAAAAAAACAAAAGACGTCTGACTCTTTTATATAAAAATTAAATTTTATTATAAGTGAGCATATACGAATTATTATTTACATTATCTACACGTCGTTTTAACGGATATTGTATAAAATATAATAAAATAACAAAAAATATACTGAAGATGGCGACCGCTTACAAAACAGGTCGTAGTCTTGGATAACGAATGTGAGTCGAATGCTGTGCGGGAGTGAATGCAAGTCAGGCTGTATTATTTAAATATTCTTAGGTAGTATAACATGTAATTCGGATTCGAGATAATAAGTGAGTACGTAAATGTCAGACCAGTCTGTTCTTTAAAAAATGCAAGATTGGGACCAGTCTCCAGGATATTATCGGAATATTCAAATATCTGCACGTAGATTTTATCAACGTTAAAATTTCATTACTATTGCCTATACATCTTCGTTATTGAACTTAATGATCCAGTAAACATGTCGTGTCACCAATTATTCCACTAATATAGATTCCATCTTATTTATTTTTCGAATTGATGGTTACGTTTTATTCTCAAAATGACTCTATACTTCCTGTGAATTTTCGATTCCACATAAATTATGGCTAAGTCATCCCTTTTGCCCCAATCATAAGCTGCATTTCTATAATCGTTAAGCTTTTTGATGTCCAAAGTTCAGTTGGCATCGTCTATTTGTAAATGGTGGAGATGTTTATTAGTTTTCTTATTTGCTCTTGTATTTATTAATGCCCTTAAGTTTTATTATTGGTATTTGCATTATATTTTTGTTTGGTATTTACCTTCACTGATTCTTTCATCAATTGTTGTCTGGTATATAACACAGTTATTATCTGCTAGATTTAACTTCTTATCAGATTTGGTCATTTTTTGATAAAGTTTGCACAACGTTTTATTCAACAGACTCCTGGAGACTGGTCTCTTATTGATTCTTCTAAGTACTGTACATATTTTCAGATTTTTCGATTTTTTTTTTCTAGACTGTATAGTTCGATTAGTTTATATGAACTCTGAAATGATACTATATAATAAAAATGTGGAATAGTTAACTAGTATTGTAACTAAAATTTCTCGCAATTATCGAGGAAGCTAAATATCGTTTGTGTATTTTTTTAGAACAAGCTGTGGGGTAAATATGTATGCATCTGATATCAAAAAAAAGTATAAAACCCAGTTAGATAATAGTGTTTAATATCAATAGTGTAGTACTAGCCTAAAAGGTAAGGCTTATATTGAGATGCGAGTAACGCTTGCAAGGAGACATTTTGACATTGTGGCATTTATCAGCAAGACAATTTGTTGGTAATATGTGCTACACACAGATAACAGATTGATAAAACATATGCTGGAATGGAAATCCTGCATCATGACATCTGCATGTCATAAAATAACGTAATTACATCACAGATTCTGCAAAATGTCACCTCAAAAGTACCACTTGCGTCTCCATAAGCAGCTTGCCAAAGACTTGTTGCGTATGGCTTGTTTTATCGACTTTAGTAATGCCAAATTATAACTGTTATTAAATACCAAAAGTAAGCAAGAAAACTAAAAATCTTCAATAATGACATTGTTTGATGTTTATTATATAAATCTAATGTTATTAATTAAACCATATATCTAAACTATAAGAATTCCGTTAATTTGACACAATTGTATTATCAATATTTACTTTAGTTTAATAACTCCCATTTTTCAATTAATGTATGAATATGTCAGGCAAACATGGATATAAACATTAAAATATAAATAACAATACAATACACTGTATCAATATTGAAATACACATAAATTTTTTAAACCATTCGTTCTTTTTCTTCTTCTTTTCCAGCGTTTTTACTACCCTCCTAATCCATATTTCTCTAAAATCAATTTGTGAGTCTGCTAGAGCTCATACAAGGACAGCTCAACCATCGTAACGTGGCCGGTGAGGGAATCGTATGTCGCTACCTTGGAATAAGACTGTCTTATGTTAAAATATGACAATTTTTAGAAATAGCAATTTAAAAAATCGATGAAAAATCTTATGAAACTGCGAACATACTAATATTTTTGCTTTGATGTGTACTAGCCTGTAAACATCTATACTTAGTCAATCCCATACTTCTTAAATACTATTTTCGACTATAACATTTTTGAGTTGTGACGTTTTTCTTATAAAAAACGTGTTCGGTGTTTTGAGATAAATCACTTTTTTATTAAAATTGTTTCACATGCTTTTTATAAATGTGTGTTTATAAACTATAACTGAAGAGAATACTACAACTCATTTTAAGCATAACATCAGCTTCTAAGACTGCCACAACTCAAAATAATACATTATTCTTTACAGAAAGTATTGTATTATCTTATTATGTGTTTGAGAAAGTGTGGCATATCTCAAAAGATGACAATATTGTACAAAATGTCAATCCACCTTTTCGATTAACAATAACTACACTTCTACCATCTGACAGCCATGGGCATAAACTCGTAACTTTTTTTTTGAGATATGACAGTATTTTTCCAAGTTAGCGATATTCCCCAATTTAATATGTGTAAAGTGAACACAAATGTGAAGAGAACCACCAGTGAGCTACCATATTAGCTGATCATATTCGCATTATTCTCTTTCAGCTCCAATTTACACCAGGACCTCTTTTGGCTAAATTAATAAATGTTTTGGCAGATGATATCAGTATTTCTAAAGTTCAATAATTTTTTGATTGGCCATTTACAGCTACTACACTTAACAAAAAATCTTAATCCAAAAAAAGGCATATTAACTGAAAACTACACTTTGCAGTAATTCTTAATCAGTTTTGCTTTAATTCAAATATTTGTTATAAAAAACGCATATTGCCGTGAAATAGTACTAATTGTTAATGTATCAAATGAAAATATCAATTGCAGCTTAATACACTTAATTGTGTGAACCATGTGATTTTATTTGAATACTTAAAAAACAGGTAAAATAATTATTTTACTACATTTCTTAATTAACGAATGTTTTTGATGGCAGATGCATACATAAGTTTGGATCTCTGAATGAAAAAAAGAGCTACATTGTAAAAAATTACTATCCTTAACGTATCCATGTTTATTTTATAATGTAGCGGAAATGTGGTGTTCTCGTATTTGTTTATTTATCACGAACTGATAATCTTAAGAATTGCCAATTGTCTTGTTTTCGCAGTGTTCTGGCACCGTTTTTGTTTTATATTGTGGTGTCAGGCGGCTGCCGCATTTGAACAGGACAATGATCATCATTTTCACAATAATATTTAGATCGCAGGGCAATGAATCATAAAGTAATGTCAATTTTTATTAAAATTGATTTGGGATATAAACAAAATAGCTTTTGTAGAGGCTTTAGAATCATTAACTACTTTATTTTTTAGGAAACCACAATTATTTTTATTTTTGATTTCCAACTCCAAAACCGTTCTTATAATACTATTAATTCATTTTCAAATATAAAGTAGTTAATGAAAAAATTACAAAAGTATCTTTATAACCACCGAACATTCGGACGTTCGACTTGTAATGAGGAGGGTTTATACCCGTGCTTTCCCTGCCAATTCATCGTTTAAGTTGTTTTTTCTGATTGGTGTCTCTATACAGAAATCTATCTGCTATAAAGTTGCTGCCGTCAGCTATTTGTTTCGAGCCATTTGGATCTTTTTTCTGTTTGGTGTACAGGCGTGAACGCCACGTGGCTCACTAATATGTTAGTGTCGGTCAATATTTATCTAGTCTCGGTTTTGGTTTTTAATAATAGTTTACTTCCTCTTTCAGTTAATCGTCGGAATTTGGCTTGGATGTTTTTTGCTTTTTTCGTAGTGTTAGTTACATCAGATATGAATGTTAGCTTGTCTAACGTGACTCTCAGATATTTAGCTTCGTTGGTCCGTTCATTTGGGAAATAGAAAATTTTAACTGGAGATTTTCTCTGAACATTATTGCCTGGGATTTCTCAGGATTTACTGCAATCTTCCACGCTATGTATCAATTTTCTAGCTCTTATAGAGCAAGGTGTAAATATCTAACTAGTGTGTTTGGTTGGATTCTTCTGGATGTTGTTGACCTCAATATACTACAGAGCAACATAAATATTTTTGACTATTGTCATCCCAATACAAATTTTTACTTACAAATGTTGTTGACCTCTAATAAATTTATAGGACGTAGTGATCTGAGTTGAGTAATTTTCGTGTAAATTATGGTTTGCTTTTGGTCTTATCTAAGGCGCTCGTCACTCATGTCCAATAGTTGTAACGCTCACTCTTGTTCCTCTTAGCGAAGTCCATACATATCTGCTACCAGCTTGATATTATGTAGGCAGTATTTAAAGAGACCATGATCAGTCATCAGTCGAGAACACTATCTTGAATGTGCTGCCTCGAAAAGTTTGTTTGTCGGGTTTAAATCAGGGAAGCCACTTGATTCTTCTCCAAAGATGCCGAAAGGTGATGTCCTAATCGAGTCTTACGATGACTTTCAGGTAAATCCCTTATATTATGTTTGTAAAAAAATATTGTAGTTTCGACTTTAAGATGATACTTTATGAGAAATTGCCCTGTACATTAGAAACCCGTATGGATGCAAAATCATTCAGTTTTTCGGCGTTTTATAGCTTGTAGCCAAACAAGCATGAAAGTTAAAAATAGAATTTGTATTTTTGTGATAATTTCTTATCTATTTTGTGTTTGTTTGGTTACCGTTAAATTATAGAAAACTTGTATATCCGTACTGGTTCCCGAATTATTTCTAGATCAAAAATGTTTGATTATCTTACGTTTTGTATACACGATTTTCTAGTTTTATGCAGATTAATGTCGTTGTAATAAGTTCACATTTTCGTGTTATCCAGCAAAGTGGTTGCATATCGTAATTATTGATTTTATTTATGCTCCTTATTCCTCCAATAAAGATATTCTTTAAATTTGAAGTATGTGTTAAATCAATTTTTTATTCAATGTTACTAAAACAATACGATTCAAGAACAGGAAAAATTATTGAGAGAAATAATAAGTCAAGAAGTCCAAATATAGCAGGACCACTAAAAGATATAAAATCCCTGATACACAACGCACCTGAGTGCGGACCATTTCGAACCAAACCATATAGAAGCATGTACAGTTTACACATATTACACAAGTAATTGCTGCGTTAATGGGGAAAATGTCCACAACTATTAACATTTGGTATTATCTGCTAGAAAAACGAATAACTTACAATCCACGTTAATTGGAGATAATAAAATCACTAACATTTAGTTATAGTTATAACATTTATTGTAAGAACTGCCATGATTCTAGAGCAATGTGTCTACTATGTTGTCGCAGTGTATTATCGATCATATTATGGACTGCGATTATGACAAGCTGCAGTTGGTTAGTTGTGATATCGGTAGAAATAGAAAAATCACAAATTACCCAATTTTTCCTTGCTAAGCCTATAGCTGTTGTTATTAATTGAATATATTGATTTAGCATAGTGATTTGATAAAAGTTTATTATTGCTTGTTGGAGCGAGACTGGCGCAACTAGAAAAAATATTGTTGATCTTGAGATAATCGTTCTAATTGTTGAATGTAAATCATCTATCATAACTCTCTATTAATTTTTAATTTAATTTGTAAATGTAAAATTGTGAAAAAATGATTCTGTAGCTGCAACATTCAGTAACTGCCATGGTAAATATTTAACTTTCGAAATTCAGTGTAAAATAAATGTGTGTAATAATACAACTACTACTATTACAACAATTTGCAAGTTTAGTTTTTATCATTGTTAATTATGTATTATCAATTTCTCATTATTTTTTAGTAGCTTTTTAAAATAGTTATTTCAGGCGATGGCCGGATAATTTAAGTTGATAACAAAAGTTCAGTTCCGCATTTGTAATTTCAAATGTTACAGTGGGGAATCGCAGGAATAAAATAATAAAAAATGCATTATCAGTCTTTTTTTAATCCTTTCCTTTATTAAATCCTAAGAACATTAACCATTTTAATTTCATATTGATTTTAAGTTGAAATTAAAAGGAATTCAATAAGAAATTAATCCAGAATTATTAAAAATAACGGTTGAGTTTACTGAAAGTATAAGCTGAATATAGTCCCAAATGTCACAAATATTTCGGTTTGGTAGTGTTGGCATGTTTTTATAATGTATGAATTGTGCAATTTTTAAATTGATATGAAGTAATAACGAACAGATATTTGTCTCTTTCGAGATTAATTGCAAACATCTTTTGTAATCTGGCAACTGCTGATTTGACGATTGCCAAATCTATACCCTATTCTATCAAAGTGTAATTGCTAAAAAAATTCTAATAATTAACTGCAATTAATCTCAAAAGAAACAAATATTTACTCATTGTTGTTTTATATAAATTAAAAATTGCAGAATTCATAACATAATATAAAAAAATGTACTTTTCTAAAGCTTTATCTTTTTATATTTGAAGTATACAGCATCTACAATATAAAAACATGCCAACACTGCTAATTTTTTGTTCCATGTTTGACATTTGCTGCTATAATCAGCTTGTACTTTCGGTTAAGTCACCAAAATAACTGTTAGAAGAAAAACAATAAATACTCCTAACTATTTTACTAATTACTGCAGACAATTAATGTTTTCAGTAATGTCAGATTTCATAGTTTCGTTCGTAGATTGACGTCACCAAATGAGTTAGTCAGGTTCATGAAATTTTGTAGACCAATACCCCAGTATAAAAAAAGAAAGGTGAAAAAAATATTGCAGGTCTCTGATCGTTTTAAGTCAGGTGTGAGCATCGAGCAAAAAGACAAAAGAGGGAATGTAAAGGTAGTGGGGGCAAAAATATTATTAGACAGGAAGTGAGATCTTTAGAGGCCGCAATTAAACAAGGTAAGAAAGTCCCTCTCCTTGTTTGACATCAAATTTAGTTGGGTTATGTTATTGTTTGTCCCAAATGTTTTTTGCCAAATGACATGGCAGAATGTTGTTCGAAAATTCCTAGCTTACTTAAAAGTAATTTAACATCTTTCAACTTCTCTTTCTTAATTAAATGGAATAAGGCCTCTCTGTTGAGTTTAAGAGATGATCATTTCCTTTCCCTTATGACAGTATGTGAAAACATGAACATATCTGAGTAATTGGACTTGCAACCCACTCTGCTCCCTGTTATTTCTATGATTTTAAAATTCATTTTGGTTTTTATGTGCCTCCTAACCGATAGTCTCCATTCATCAGTAAACCAGTACTCGCTGCTAACAAAGGTTCTTCAGTTTTCCATAATGTTTTTTCTATAATAATAATAGTCTCCCGTTTTATACCGCACGCGGCTTTGGGAGTATAGCAGGGTAGTCTGCTATATCTAGGGCCTACGGTATACAAGGAAGGTAACATGGCCAGTGCTACGCTTCAACCGCCTATTATTACCCCTGGTTTTACCCAAGGTACTCATTTTATTCAGGCTGAGTCGACCTGGGGCCTATAGACATTTTAAAAATGCCTAGTTGTTCTTGCCGGCGGTAGGATTCGAACTCACGACCACCGGCATTCGAGGCAAGCACACTACCGCTTGCGCTACGCGGGCCCATAATGTTTTTTCTACTCTTCCAAATTCCTACTCGATCTACTTTCTACTGGCAAATAACTTGTTCATGATCTTTTTTCTTGCTGTGCGACCCGTGTAAGACCTCTTCTTTAAAACTAGCCATTATAGGTATTTACTCAAATAAACAAAAAAGCAATGCACGTTTGTAGCACAACGTGTACACATCAACTGCAAGTAACACCTATGGTGAATCACGTGACTTCTATGCACCCATAGTTTGGCCAGGTGGATTTAAGACGCCTTGCAAATAAAACCAGTAGGGAGACTTTGAAAATGAATACAATTTGCAATGGTAAATAAGTCATTTTAGTACAAAAAAACTTTATTCGAGGACTGAAGAAATCTGTAACGTCTTTAATAAAATTTAAAAAATCTATTTTAAAATCTATATTAATAATTTAAGAAATTTAGGACTTAGGACACTTTGGAAATAAGCTCTTCAAGTATTATTTAAATGCAAATTTGGATTGGGTAAGTATATGAATTTTATTTTAGCTCAAATATATGAAATGGGAATACCTAGACCGTCATCGTCACTGTGAAAGAAGATGCTTCAATCGGAGAATAGGAGAAAAAACTATATAAGGATCACCATACCGACAAAACTCCTAGACCGTCATTACTAAGAGCTGAACAAAAATGTTTGCCAATTGCGATTAGAAATACTGTAAAATATAAAATAGTTGACGGTTTATAGAGAGTAGGGAAGACACATGGAACAATAAACCCTTTTTTCAAGGAATCAAAAGAATGTAAGGAGCATTTTCTTAATTTCGAAGAATTTCTTATACTTTTGAGGAGCAGTTTTGATTGCAGTAGCATTTTATAAAGCCTTGTCCCCCAAATTTAGAATATTTTACACTGATTTCTCCGAGACAGCTGAACTTCGGGCACATCTTCGAAATTAAGAAAATTCTCGTTACATTCCTATATTTGATTCCTCGAAAAAAGTGTGTTTTATAGATTTTAATAAAATTGAAAAAGTTTACATCTATAACGGACTTCCCTAGTCACGTAAATAGACTCTTTCAACTGTTTACTGTGACTGCGTCACGAACCGTTATTTCGTTTCGTGGCGCTCAGCATTTTACTGTAGAGAAACAGTAATACAACGCCAGTATAGAAGCTCAGCTTCAAACATGAACATTGCTTTGTTAATATACCTACAATATTGTAATATATAATACAGATAATAAATATCCAAATTCAACAATTCTTTTGTTTCCCCTTTTTTTAAATTCATTTACTAACTTACATATGTCTGGATAAATGAAAGAATAAATGGATAATAGTCATCGCTTGTTAATGTAATTATGCCCATATAGTAGGCAGTAATTAATTAAATAAAAAAATTTCACTCGTGGTAGAAAAGAGAGAAGAAAAGTTCTTAAAAGACATTCAACCCACCTAGACCTAAGTGTAATATTAAACCCACGGGATATGTATCTTCTTTGTAAATGTTTTGGCATAAATTACTTGTTTTGCTTGCTTACAAGTTCAATTTGATAAAGCAAGTCGGAAACTTTCATTATTCCATGTCAAAAATGATAAAGCTAATGTAAGCGAAATCTTTCAAATTTTCTTATATGCGCTCCATTAGTGGTGACGTCACACGTTGAGATAGGTTATGGTCCTGTATCCAAACAAACCAAGTGTTCTATTCTAATTACCATAAGCAGATTTTTAATACATCGATTTTGTGCATTTTTGTTGAAAATAACTTCAGTTTTCCGCTTCAAGGTATGTAAAATGATGTATATTTAAAGATAAATTTTACTGAAGAAGCCAATTTTTGCAAACAAGTCATTAAATTCCACAAAACAATCCTTGTTTACATAACTTTAAAATTAAACTGTTTTTGTAATAATTAATAAATAGTGTATTCTATGTTAATTTTTATCAGAATTCAGTGACAGTGAGTAAAGAAAAATATATCAACTCTGCACTAACATTTAGTTGAAACTATGTTCTTGTTTATTTCATTTAATAAATTGCTAGAAAATAATTTTTTGAATATAAAATTCTATTTTGTTTAATTTTTCCCCCAAAAAAAGATTAATACTTTGCATAAACCAGTTAAGTCCAATTATTTTTCACCCATAACTTTTTTGTTTTTTTAACTTACAACGTATTATTTAAAAATAATAGTGATGACAAGATGATCTTCAAATGTTTTCATAGTTTTCGCTCAAAATGTTTTACTTCTCCTGAACATTTTGCTTTATTTGACTTGACTGGTTTATGCATTGGACCCTTCAAATGTAATAAAAGTTAAGATAGTGATTATTGATGCTGCTAATATTTACCTACATTAAACTATTCTGATATACTCAGGACATTAGAGAGAAAAATACTGAGGAAAGTATATCACCCGGTACAAGAGTAAGATGGCACATGAAGAAACGATAAGGTTAATGAGTTAAATGAAGGTTATGACATTGTAAGATTTGTGAAAAGTCAAAGACTGTCATGGCTGGGACATGTGCAGAGACAAAACAATGCAAAAACAACAAAGAAAATGTTACAATGGAAGCCCATAAAAAGGCGAAAAAAAGGAAGGCCCAGAACGAGATGGTTGGATGACATAGAAGATGACCTGAAAACAATGAACATAAGACAATGGAGAAGAAGGGCACAAGAGAGATCTGAATGGAAGGACATAGCCAGACAGGCAAATACCCATCTAGGGTTATGATGCCAAAAGAAGAAACTATTCTGATATATTTTGAGTTTTATGCTGTAATTTTATCTTTGAAATATAATGAATTAGAATATCACTCTTTTTATCATTGAACAGTAAACCACTAATAAAAAATGCATCTTTGTACTACTTAAAATTACAAATGTGAAATACAATTAACAATAAAAAGTTAATATTTTTGTGGTGATGAGAACGACTTCCCAGTCTAAAGTACATTATTTGCCACAATACCTATTTTGTTTAGTACAAAATATGGATTTAAAGGATAAAAACACATTTTTAACAACTAGCTTTTATTTTTTTTTAACTAACCAGTAACAAACTTAATAAAGTGATTTAAGTAAAATGTTTGTAAAACATTTAAATTATTTTGCCAATCATCATCTTTTGAAATTCTAACTATTAAATGATCATTGGGGACCCAAATAATTAAATAACACATATCTCTGTTGGTTATGTGTAACTCTCCTTGTATTTGGTGGTAGTAGGCATGATCCTCATTGACTACTAAATTTCCATTTTGATAAAAAATTATGTATTTTTTCTCATTAATTAGATCTTCTTTAAGGCTTAGCTCCTTCCTATATTTAAAAGGGCATTTTGCTTCAATAATGCACCACTCGCTGACATATCCATCTGGACTTGTTCCCAA